ATTGGCTAGGGGAAATTTATCTTTCTAGAAATTTTTGTTGCAGTCTGATTGGACAGAAGAAAGCTTAAGATACATGGTAAAGCTGTGTGCTTTGACTTGAGCCCATAATAGGCACTCAGTACAGACTTGTCAAATTGCATAGCCATTTGGAGAGATTAAGCTGCGAGGTTTTAACTTGTTATATTAGTTTTATAGAATTTCTCAAGCATTTATTAACCACATACCCATTCAAATATTCTTTATATCTGCAACTTAAATGGCCACATAAAAGAGTCTTTTAATGTGTGAAGGCAAGAAGATAAATTTTCTGGGTAATGAGATACATTAGGATTTAGTGTGTATGTGGCACCACACTAATCTCCTAAAGCACATGCTGCCATAAACACACACACTTGCATGTGCACAGAGGCTTACATTTTGCAAGAAAATGTGAGTGATGGGAGCCAATGTAAAGTCCTGTGGTAATGCTGGACAGAGGGATATGTCATCATCAAATCTGTTTCTTTCTCATTAGGTCATTTTTCTTATGTAACCGTATGCCAAATAGCTGCATCTCTGGGCCAGTTTCAGACCAGCATGATTGAACTTACTGAACATGGTGGTGCACACATTTAATCTCAGCCCTGGGGAGGGAGAGGCAGGCAGGTCCCTGTGAGTTTGAGCCCAGCCTGGCTAACATAGCAAGACTCTGTGTCAAAAAACAAAAACCAGAATGCTGAACTTTCTTCATAGAATGTTTTTGACATACAACACTATGAAGCCCTAAAGGATCAGTCTTGACAATTTTCAAACTTTTAAATTAAATTAAACCCAATGGACCACTGTGTCTCCTACCCCTTAAAACCATGACTGTCGGTGCTGTGGATATAAAAAAAATAGACTAGTTTATTAAATGAATACAAAAGCACTAGCCAAATAATTCTTAACACTGTTTCTTCTGGGGTATACCAATGTTACGAACAATGATAAAAATGTAGGGAAGGATCTGTGGTTGTTGTCAGTTTTTCAAAATAGAACTTGGTTGGCATAAAGTTTGGATACTATTCTCAGTGACCAGGCTTTCTTTTTCCAATATGCATGTATAGCTTACTGGACATGTGTGGTGATATTTTATTTGTGTTGTAACAAATAGAACTTTCCTGAAGATCAGAGTGCAGAGCTAGCCACACTAGTTAGCCATAGAAGCCAGGCAGTTGTGGCACACACCTTTAATCTTAGCATTAGGGAGGCAGAGGCAGGCAGACCTCTGTGAGTTCAAGGCCAACTTGGGCTACTGGAGATTGATCCAGTATAAAAGAGAAACAGCGCTCACACAAAGGTGATCAAAGCACTTGGACATGCCTTTAATCCCAGCACTTGGAAGGTGGAGACAGGAAGGGGTATGGGTGGGTGCAGAGAGGAATGTAAGGCAGTGGGAGACAGGAGTTCATTGCATTCAGTTTGAGGATTCCTAGAGACAGCATCTTGCCCACTGTGGTCTGATGATTTGGTTGAGGTAAAAGGTTTCTCTAGTGGCTGGCTTCTTTACTTCTCTGATCTTTCAGCATTTACCCCGATATCTAACTCTGGGTTTTTATTGTTAAGACCAATTAGAATTCACTCTACAGACATGTACTGACACAATCCTCTTACACATTTTATGCCCCTGATCAACAAGCACCATTTACCAAGGACATGGTAAATGACATAGATCAGATGATATTTGAGATTCCCTAGTACCCTTAGGCTCCCCAACTTGGAATTAAGGGAAAATGCTGCACGTATTAGTCATTTATGTTAACACATAGATGAAAGACCCTATATAAGAAAATTTATCCCCAAGAAACCACAAAACATTGTGGAAGGTAATAGTATTTTTAAGAGGGAATTCATTGGAAAGAAACCCCCATTCTCTGCCTTTAAAACAGTACTGCTTTCCCAGAATACCTTACACTCAGCTGAGTCCCAGGTCTGCAGTGAAATGGAGACGTTTTTCATCAGTTAGAGTTGTTCTCTAACTTGAGGGCACAATAGTCACGCATGGCTAGATCCACACCTAGAGTTTCTGGTTCAGTGAGTCTGGGGTGGGGCCAAGTGCTTGATTTCTGGCAAGTGCCTAGGCAATATTGATGTGCTGTTGATCTTTGGCATACACTTGGAGAGGTTTTCAGGGGAATGTCATAGACAAGAAAAGGCCTCCCCACTTGGATTCCTCCTCGAGTTTGGGTCGTTGAAAGGGCCCCAGAGATATGGTAAAGCATCCTTCTGGATGTGTCTCTGGAGGTGTTTTTCAGAGAAGACTGGTGTATGGGCCAGTGGACTAAGGAGAGGAAGACACTGCCCTTGTAGGCAGCAACATCTAATAGGCTGCTGGTCCTGATGCAACAGTAACACAGTAGAAGTGGGGAACCTAGTTCCTGCTGATGAGCTTTTCAAGTTCCTGTGTTTTCTCCTGCTGGTACTTAGACACATCAGATTTTCCTTGGGACCAGTAGCTCTTTGGGAGGCTTTTTGACCTTGGACTGGGCCTATATCACAGGCCTCTGTCATCCTGAGGCTTCAGCTTCTTAGACTTAGGACATACTGGTCTCCCTGGCTCTCCCGTGTGTTGATAACCATCACAGGACTTTGTAGTCTCTGTGGTTGTGGGAGTCAGTCTAATAAATCCCCTCTATAATTAGTTATTTTTTGGTTCTGTTCCTCTGGAGAACTCTCATAAGTTCTCTTAGTTCTTTGTATTCTCTGCTCTCTTACTAAGAGGATACGTGGGCTTTTTTTATTTGGTTCTTGTGTAGAAGGAACTCTGGAGAAAACACTGGAAACAAAACACCAGAAGTAGTGGAAAGAAAGGGGAAAAATCCACAACTAGAAACAAGAGTGAAGAAACAAACCAAAAGACAAAGGCTACAAATCTGGAAGCAGAAAGAACTTTGGACTTTAGCCCTAAACCTCAAAGAAGTATGTATTGATGAGTTAGGGGCACAAGAAGCATTGATATGGTCTCTCTTGGCATGTAGGGAAAGCTATACTTCTCTTCTTCCGAAAGGCTCTTCTCAGTCCCAGAGTTTTGAAAACCTATTTGGAATGAGCTGTGAGTCTCTGGTTTGTCCTCCCAGCGTGGGAAGAGAACACACTTGTGGCACTCTTGCAGTTTGATGAGTACACCAGTGCTCTGCCTTTCAAGTGGCATCACGTTTTCTTCCCATCCACTTAGACACAGCTTCTCATTGGATGAAGTCCTTATATTTTGCTCTGGTATTCATTATATTTCCTGCTTATAAACTTAATATCATGGGGTGTTTATTTTTATACCAGGCAAGAAATTCTTTAAGAATGATTAATGTTAGTTTCTCATTCTTTTTTTTTTTAAAGAAATCTTTGAGTAAGTGCACATACATGTGCATACAGTCTTGTGTTAATACAAGTCCACATGGCTCAGTGTGGAGTAAAGGTCAGAGGACAACCTGGGTATCAGTCCTCATCTTGTGTGTTACAGGATCAAGAAGATGAATAGTGTGGATGTGAGGCTAGCTGACCTGGCAATTCTCCTGTGTTTCTCTTTGCACTTCAAGTGAAAAATTTACCATTTTTATTGAAAAAAATAAAATCTTCAGCACTCTGGCTTTGTATGGTGGCCAAGGCATAAATCTGAAACATCCAGATATTGTCATTTGCATTTTCAGTTATTTTTTCCATGTCATTTTACATATACACCAGAGCTGTAATGATATTATGACTTCATCTCTGCAACCTTTAGAACCCCAAAGACAAGTTGAATACCATTGTAACAGTAGCATCACAGAGAAACCCCTCAAGAAATTATTTCCAGAAGGAGATATTTGATTCTAGGGCTGTTTCATTATGTTCTGTGTCCCCAAGCATTTTCCATTTTCCAAGCATGTCCTGTAGATAAGTTTTAAAAAAAGTTGGAAACAACAATCTTTGAAACAACTGTCCTAATCTTATGTCATAATCGTATGATTTACTTTGGTTTAGAGCAGTAGTTCTCAACCTGTGAGTCGTTGGTTTGCTTGAAGGAGGTGTTGAACAATGCTTTCCGGAGGTCACATATCAGATATCCTTCATATCAGATATTTACGTTACAATTCATAACAGGAGCAAAATTACAGTTATGAAGTTGCAATGAAAGCAGTTTTATGGTTGGGGGTCACAGCATTGGGCAGGGTGAGAACCACTGTCTAGACCATCAACATGAGGAACTGTATTAAAGGGTCACAGCATTAGGAAGGGGGGGAACCACTGTCTAGACCATCAACATGAGGAACTGTATTAAAGGGTCACAGCATTAGGAAGGGTGAGAACCACTGTGTAGACCATCAACATGAGGATCTGTATTAAAGGGTCACAGCATTGGGAAGGGTGAGAGCCACTGTCTAGACCATGAACATGAGGAACTGTATTAAAGGGTCACAGCATTAGGAAGGGTGGGAACTACTGCTCTAGGGTCTTATAAAAAGATATTTTGGGAAAACCTCATCTTTTAGTGATACTGTGTTCTTGTATATCTATTTTTGCTTGTTTGTTTTTAGTTGCTGCTGCTGCTGTTTTCTGGCTTACTTGTTTGTTCATTTATTTGTTTTAAGCCAGTCTTGTGTTCAGCCTCAGCTTGACTGGGTAGCTGAGGTTAGCCTTGAACTCCTGATCCTCCTGCCTCCCAAGTGCTAGCATTCCAGGCCGGCATCACCATGTCCAGCCTGCCATTGTTTGTTGAGGGATTTCAGAATGTTGTACTGATTCCTGAGAAGCTGCTAATTTAAGTTTTCCTTCTCCTTATCTTGGATGTGGGCATCTATGAAAGAGTAACTTTGTGATAGACTAATTTTCACTGACAAAGAATTTGAGATGCAAATGCCTCAGAAGTACACTCTATATACAAACATGCTTCCCAGTTGGATGACACAAATGCTTTTCTTTTCAAGTTTATCTCATTCACTTATTGAATTACTGGAAAACAGCCTTTCTTATTTTTTCTCCCTCCCTTTTTTGGATTTTCTTTTTAGAATTCTTCAAAGAACTACTTGAGAATGCAGAGAAATCCCTGAATGATATGTTTGTGAAGACATATGGCCACTTATACATGCAAAATTCAGAGCTATTTAAAGATCTCTTCGTAGAGTTGAAGCGCTACTATGTGGCGGGAAACGTGAACCTGGAAGAAATGCTAAATGACTTCTGGGCTCGCCTTCTGGAGCGCATGTTCCGCCTGGTGAACTCTCAGTACCATTTTACAGATGAGTACCTGGAATGTGTGAGCAAATATACAGAGCAGCTGAAGCCCTTTGGAGATGTCCCTCGGAAACTGAAGCTCCAGGTTACGCGTGCCTTTGTTGCAGCCCGGACTTTTGCTCAAGGCTTAGCAGTTGCAAGGGATGTAGTGAGCAAAGTCTCTGTGGTAAGTTCTCTGTGTGTCTTCTGTGTTTTGAGTTTTGGTTGGTTTGGTTTCAAACGGAGGTTGGAGAAAGGTTGGTAAAGAAGTCATTGGGGTTCCATTGGTTCAATAATAATCTTTTCTTGGTATCTCACTTCCCACACTTTGGCCACATGCATGCAGTGCTAGGGTAAGCTCTATTTTTGTTTGTTTATTTTTTGAGACAGTGTTTCTCTGGGTAGCCCTGCCTGTCCTAGAACTCACTCTGTAGACCAGATTGGCCTTGAACTCCTAGCGATCTACCTGCCTCTGTCTCTGCCTCCTTGGTGCTGGGATTAAAGGCATGCACCACCACTGCCCAGCTAGGATAAATATCTTTATATATCATTGTTATTTTCTGTAGTCTCTTTGGTAGCCATTCTTAGATGGGCATGTACATTGACTCCAAAATCTTAATTTTAAAATGATTTTAGCAAATCAACATTCATCTGATCTGCTTTTAGTTCTTTTTCTTCTTGCAAAAGCCACCCCCTTCCCCCTTTCTCAGGCTCCACACTCAGTTCTTTTTTTTCCACACATGGTTATTTTAAATGACCATGTTTGAGCCCACTAGTTGCAGACTAGGAAGTCATCAGTATTCATGAGTGTTTGTTTAATGCGCACACATTGTAAAGTGTGCTAGAACTTTCATGACAATGACTGCACTATTCAGGTCTTGATCATGAATTTGGTTATAGGATTATCATAAAGAAAATACTATTGTAATATGTGGTAAGAAATGAACCTCTTGTAAACTAAAATGAGTTGGATTAGAAAAGGATTTTTCAGACTTTGTTCCATGGAGCCACCTTAGAAAGGGCCTTCATGAGTGTGTAAGACTGAGCATCGGTGCTTTAAGTGCCACAGAGAGGCTTTGCTCTCCTAGATTTCCTGCAGTAGGATTTTGAGCAAGATTTCAAAGTGGAAATGGTTCACCGTTTGGTGAGATTTGCAGGCTTTTAGTTTCTGTAGCACTGGGACTAGAACCCTGGGGCTTTGCAGATGTATAGTCCACGCTCTACTACTGAGCTGTAACCCTTAAGCCCCTGAACATTTTTGAAGGACCTTACACCACTACGCTGATGTGAAGCATTTTGGAATCTGGGACTGCAGAAGGTGTTGAGTGTGCAGAGCTTTATGACTGATGTGGGAAGGTCCATCTCACTGTGGATGATGCTGCTACCCATGGGAAGGTCCTCATTGGTATAAGACAGCAGATTGAGCAAGCTATGGAGAGCAAGCCAGTAAGCAGTTCTCCTCCATGGCTTCCTCAGTGTGGGCTGTGGCCCAGGATATGTAAGACAAACATTTAGTCATGTCTATCACAGCAATAGAAATTTAAGTTAAGACATCTTTTATGGCTTAATACCAGGGAGAGGCATCTATACTGAAGCAAAGTCATCTTTGCCAGACTGCTCTTAGGGCTCTTATCTTAGGCTCCCAGTTTGTAAGCCACTGTTCAAAACCCTGTGTGCATAAACAGTAGCTTTTTCTTTTGTCATTTGCTTGTTTCTGTGATTAGACAAAAGGTCAATGTGAAAAATGGACAGTACTACAAAACACCCACCAGATTAACTTTCACAGAGCTCATCTACAGTTAGGATGACCATGTAATTTATTATCCAAGCCAAGGCACTTACTGTCTAAACCAACAGATGCTTATTAACAAACATAACCAGGCAACAGGGACTACTAACTGTTAATGAGCAACCAAGTGCACAGAATGTACTGTCACCTTAGTTAGAGAGGAAGCTGGGATTTATCAGAGTGAAGCAAATGAGGCTAAAGACTAGGATGTTCTAGAAAACAGGTGTTGATAATTTGGAATTAAGAAATAATATGTATTCACTTGCTGGTTCTCTCATCTCCAGGCTGTGAATTGTTAGCAATTTCTTTGCAGTATATTTTTGTCCACCCTCTCCTTTTCCTTCTGATGCCTTCATTGTCTGTGGCAAATATTTGGTGGACCATTTGAATTAAGGTAATCGGGAAAATAATCACAATGCTGTACTTCTATCAACATAAGCAATCATTTTTAATCTTGGAAATACTTAAGTAGTCCACAGTCCACATTCTTTGAGGCCCATATCATTGGCATAGACATTTACCTGACACATTTGCCTGCTTTTAGCAATTCTTTATGTTGTTCTGAAGGTGACTGGGCAGGAAGGAGTCAATGTGTGGTGTAAATACCCATAGATACAGATGCACCTGTGTGTTATGTGTACATTATGAACTCAAATTATAAGTTATAAAGAGAAAAATAGTGCACGGCCCTAAGCAAGTATTTGAAAAATACCTTCTTTACATTAATGAAATACCGCTCTACTGTAGTTGGAGAAGAAGGAAAGCTACTTTTTAACATAACTTCTTAAGGTTTTTTTTTTATTTGTGTGTTTCACTATTGAATAACTTCTGGACTTAAGGACTGATTTAAAACCAAAACCTTCAACTAAGTTGGTTTATATTATTTGAATAACACAACAGTAAAACTTATAATTATAGTTCTCTTCTAGTTTATATATTGAGTAGTTTTTTTTCTTCCTGTCTATGGGTTTCTTCACCTGCTAATCCTTACCCAGTTGTTATCCATGGAAAGACAATTTAACAAATGTAGTTTTTTTTGGTACCTTATAAAATTAGTGGTCTCTAACCTGAAAAAGGCCTTTCAGAATAAGGGAATGTATTTGCCAACTGAAGAGTCCCAAACCACTTGACTACAAAGAGATCTTTAAAGGCAAGCTGCAGAAACATCCTGGCCTTGGGGCTACTCACTGAATGCTTAACTCAGAGATGGTCTCACTTTCTGTTGGGTGGACACCTTGTTTTTCCAGCTCTGTTTTGTACTTCCAAGATGAATAATAATTTGATCACCACAAAGCCCTTGAAAGGGCCGTTAGCACCAGCAAGCTTTCCTTCCTTCCTTCCTTCCTTCCTTCCTTCCCTCCTTCCTTCCTTCCTGAAAAGGGCACTGCTTGCTTAAAGTACTCTTGCCTTGCTTCAGATTTGCTGGGCCCAGCACTGTCAGCGCACTACTTGGAGCCTTATGATTGCAACTGCAGAGATACCCTCTGAATTAGTAACAGATGGTTCAAGAATATCCTGCTGCTACACATCTTTGTATTACTTATTCCATCGTTATCTGTCTTGTTTCATGATGCATTTCTTACTTACCTTCTTGTAGCAGCAGTTTTGCCTAGAAGGGTGGAGTCTCTTGTGGTGCTTAAGAAATGCACAAGTGGTTACATGCACCATGAAAATTAATAGCTCTTCTGCCAAAGAGATAAATTCTCATGGTTTCAATTAACACTAGCATAATGGGACTGTGTCTACACCCGCATCCCAAACTGCAGGGGCTATAATTAGACAATAGTGCCTTACCATCAAAATATATGAGTGACTCTCCTGCCTTAAACTATCTCTGTGCATCCCTCTCTTCTCCCCTCTACTCTCCAGTGATCCTGGTGCTACACGTTATTTTGTTATTTCCCCCACATCATCATAAATGCAAGTAAGTTTTTAAAGGAACCAAGTACAAACTTTCATTCTGTCTTTATTCGTATTTTCTTTTTACTTAGACACAAAGGCTAGGATTGCAAAGGGCATGGTAGGACTTGAGATATGTTAGGGACAGGGATAAGTATGTGTGCCAAAAGGATGAATAAGTGAAGATCACAAACACCCTTAAATTAAACCAATTTCAGAAAGACAAATGCTAGATATTTGCTTTGTGATTTCTTGATTTTATATAGATACCCTGACATAAAACTGCAACATAAGAGTAGAAGAGAAACTGTTTAGGGGGACAAAAGGAGACTGATGGGAGGGAAAGGAGTGAGAAAATGGAGGTTAGCGGGCTATGTGAAGTTACACTCAATGTACCTGTATGAAATTATCCCTAGGTAACAGTACCACACACAATGAATATATACAAAGAACAGTTTAAAAAGAAATACTGCAAAGTAGAAAAAGAGCAAAAACTGTAGAGTCTTTAAAAGAGTTAATATAATCATATTTTCATTTATGGAGTGTAACAGTCCAGTTAGTTCAGACAAAAATAAGACACAATATCAGGTATTTGTGCAGCTTCTATTCTATCTCCCATGTGCCCACAAATATTCTTGATTGAATTTGAGTGCATTCTATACATTATACAAAATTCCCTTATCAGATCAACAGCAAGAACGTCTCATCATTCCTTCTTTGTGTGTGTACTGAATTGGAAATGACTTAGGAAACTGTTGAATAAACTCATCACATCCCACGGCAAGTGTGGGCTCCCTAGCTCTTTCTCTTACCATAATTTTGTGAAATATTTCCTGTTGTTTTTATTGGGTGCTTATGTTACCAGGCAACAGATGAAAATCTAGACCTTTTCTGTTTGTTTGGTGTGAGAGGCTGCAAAAAAAAAAAAAAAAAAAAAAAGAGGGCAGAGGAGCGGGGCAGTGCACAGCAACAGATGCATGCTGAGCTGGAATCAACTACAGGCGATGCGTTTCTAACTTGAATGCAGCATGCTCGCTGTCATTGCTGTGTAATGTGGCTTAAGGCTCATTCTGAATTTCCGAAATGAAATCCAGGCCATGGAAAGAGCTCTATTCTACCAGTTTTCATTTTGCAGGCTGCTCATTGGAGTTTTTAATGTGGTGCTCAGAAAATGCAGGTTATTTGGTAGACAGGCTCAATTTTGTTTTGTTTAAAAAAAAAGGCTTTCCAAGGAGACTTTTCTATAAAGGCTTTTTATAGAAGAGAAGG